TACCATCTTTACACCACTTGTTTTCCATCTTTTCTACTGATTTTTGGGCTGTACAAACTTGAATTTTTGGCTAAAACTTGTAGTTTTAAGGCCAATAAGGTTGAGGGGTGGTTCACCCTTCTTTCTATCTTGCTCTTAAGGCCTTTACCCTTGTGTTTCCTACCTTTGCATTATCTTTTTTTGAGCTTTTAAACATTGTTTTTCAGAGTCATTTCAGTGGCTAAAATCATGTTTTGAAGTCCAAAATTGGAGGGGTTAGCCTCCCCTGCTTGTGTCTTACTTGCTAACCTAGTTTGCTCTATGTGTTAGCTTATTATTTTAGCTATTTTTGTCTTAATTCCAGCATGTTTTAGGACTGTTTTAGGGCTTTCTTTGGTTGTTAGTTGCATTTGAGCTTTGTACTTTGTATAGCATGCTTCTAGTGTAATTGTCCTCACAAGCTTGGTGTTTTAGGCCTCTAGACACCACTTATTTGAGTTAATTGCATGTTTTAGTATTTTTCTCACTTATTTTTAGCACTAATAATATGTGCAATCTCCCCCATTTCTTGGCTTTTATTTTGCTTTGAGAGTTGTTTCAAACTTCTTGTTCTTTTAAGCATGAGATTGAGGTTGTCTTTCTTAATGGTTTAATCCCTTTTAGGGGTTCATTATCAACGGCATGACATCTCTTTCACGTCTTAAGTTAACTCTTGGTTTGGTACTTCACTCCCTTAGAGGACTTTAACTCATTCTTGGACTTAATGAATTGAAGGATGGTTGGTAATTAAATTAGAGTCAAATGGACTAAAATGGTGTAAGATAATCAATTTGGTAAGGTTCAATCGGACATTAATTGAACCCTTGAGTCTTGAGTTGTTTCATACTCACTAGTGATGAAAACGGCTCAAGATTCATTGTCAGCTACTTCCCTTGATCATTCATGATAGGGATGTGATTTTTGGAGTCTTGTCGCATTTATTGAACTTGTACTTTGGTCCATAAGCCATCATGCAATGAAATTGCTTGATTGATGGTTTGGGAACCAAATTTTGTCCTCATTTGACCAGTTTACTGATAAGGAGAGGCAAAGTGTGCAAACAACCCTTGAGAACACCCTATTCTTGCACTGTTTGTCCTCTGTTGCAGCAAGGAAGGACTTGGCTTCAGTGGTCGGCAACCCCTTAGCAATGGCCGGCAGGCCACCTCTAATGGTCGGCAACCCCTTAGTGTTGGCTGGCCACCAGTGAAAAATAGTGTTGGTGTTCAACTGTCCAAGCAGAGGCATTCGGAAGAAAAACAGTGATTTTTTTGGGTGGAAACCAAGCATGCGGATGAACATTCCTCGTTTCCAGAGGTAGTATAGTTTAATTACTTATTTTAATTGCACTTGTGTTGTAATTATTTAATTAGTTATGTAGTTAACTAGTTATGATATAATTATTTTAATTAGCTAGATTAGTTAATTAATTAGTTCATCTATTGTTGTAATAAATTAGTTAAGTAGTTTAGCTAATTCCATTTGTTTTTTAATAATTAGTTAATAGCTTAGTTAGTTAATTAGCCTAGTTTATTCATTCGGACTCTCGTTCTCGAGAGCGTAATGTAATAACGTGTATGTCTTCCAACCTCACGTCATTCTGCCTTTTATTTATCCGCTTATGATGGTTAGATTAGGAGCATCACGGTTAGTTCAGCATACCTTATGCTTGTATCCATTCATCTTGTATTGCATGCATCGAGGCTCGACGCATCATTCTAACTGCATTGTTGTTTAAATATTTCGTTGAATACATACTTAGACTGTATGTCTTGAATTAAGTCATATGTCATATTAGTAGCCGAGCCTAGTAGTTGCATATTGCATGTTGTAGACACCCCATTTTTGACCGACCTTAAGACTCAAACGTCATCGATTGAGCGCTCGGTTTGCGAACCAAGTTCTATTTTCTCTTCCCAAAGGGAGGGAGAGGTCTCGTAGACCATCTCTCAGTGGCCGTAGGCTACTTTTCGTGGTCGTAGACCACTGTTCCCGCTTGGAGACCAGTTTTCGATTTTCGAAGCCGTCGGCCGTGCGCTTCGGTTCCGGCCCGCTTAACTTTCTCCGTTTGCTCCGGTTTTTGGCACACACCTTGTTTCCTCTCTCTAGAGGGACACTGTGGCCCGAGAGACCACCTTCGTGGTCGCACGCCACTTTCGATGCTTAACAGTCAGTTTTCGGGGCACCCGGCTGCGCGTTTTGGCCCCCGAACCCTCGTTTTGCATCCGTCTTGGTTCATTTTTGGCATGGACCCTATTTTCATTGTTTGAAAGGTGGTACAAGGGTGGGAGACCACCTTTTCTCCTTGGAGACCACCTTTCTCTTTGTCGGCCGATTTTCTTGACAGGAAACTGGTCTCCTTGGTTTTTGGGCCACATTCACTGGTCTCCCACCACACCACTTGCTTGCATTTCATGTGGAGACCACCCTGGAAGGCTGCCGACCACTTGAACCTTTTGACCCTGGTCGGCCGACCAGGGCAAGTGGTCGGCCGACCACTTAAACTGGTCGTCCTGCTCCCATCAGTTCTGTCTCAATGAGTTGATTCCAGCTGTGCCAGCTGGGAGGCACAGATTGCGTCCTCCATACATGTGTATGGAGGATGTTTGCCCTTGGTTTTAAGCTTCTAGGAGAAGCTTTAGTCCCTCTTGTCTATAAAGGAAGGGCTCCCCTTCCTTGTAGGGGGTTCAAAAAAAATTTCTAAGGCATACAAGACTTTTCCCTCTATATCTTTACATCCAAGCTCAAAAAGTGCATGGTTCTTGCACCTTTTCATACCATCTCCTAACCTAACCCCTCCACCATCACTCTAAGCATCTTGGAGACCATTTTTAGAGGTTGAGAGGTTGTCTTTGTGGTCCAGAGGTTGCTGGTCCTTTTGTTCTACAAGGGTAACACACTTTCTCCCTTTTAAGGCTTTATTTTGCTTCATCTTTTAGCTATACTTTCAAGCATATTTGAGCTTTTGTGTAAACTGTCAATTGTCAAAGGATTGTGCATCATTTGTGAATCCATTATCTGTTGTATCTATTCCTAATAGTGTGTAGGAAGCTTTGAGAGATCCCAGGTGGAAGGAGGCAATGAATGAAGAGATGAAGTCTCTCCAAAAGAATTCAACTTGGGATATTGTCGAGTTACCTAAAGGAAAGACACCTGTCGGGTGTAGATGGGTGTTTACTATCAAATACAAAGCTGATGGAGCTATCGAACGATTCAAAGCCAGATTGGTTGCCAAAGGGTATACACAAACATATGGACTAGATTATGGGGAGACATTCGCACCAGTAGCCAAAATTAATACTGTTCGTATTTTAATTTCTCTGGCTGTAAATCTAGATTGGCCTTTGCATCAATTTGACGTAAAAAATGCGTTTCTACATGGGCATCTCCAAGAAGAAGTTTATATGGCGTTACCTCCTGGATATAATCTGCCAACAAAAGGGGGCAAACAGGTTTGTAGATTGAAGAAATCACTATATGGCTTGAAACAATCCCCTCGAGCCTGGTTTGGTCGGTTCACAAGCTCTATGAAGGCATTCGGATATAGACAGAGTAACTCAGATCATACTCTATTCTTGAAACATAACAAAGGAAAAATCACAGCCCTTATTATCTATGTTGATGATATGATAGTGACTGGAAATGATCTAGACGAAAGGAAGGCATTGCAAAATCACCTCGCCCATGAGTTTGAAATGAAAGATCTTGGTCTATTAAAGTACTTTCTAGGGATTGAAGTATCAAGATCAAAAAGGGGTATTTTCTTGTCCCAACGTAAATATGCCTTAGATTTGTTAAAGGAAGTTGGTATGTCTGCTTGTAGTCCGGCTAGTACTCCGATGGATGAGAACTTGAAGCTAAGTATACATTCAAATCAAGTGCCTACTGACAAAGCACGTTATCAAAGACTAGTTGGAAGATTGATGTATCTTGCACATACTAGACCGGACTTGGCTTATGTGTTGAGTGTTGTCAGCCAATTTATGCATTCTCCAAGCGAAGAACATATGAATGCAGTTATCCGTATATTGCGATACTTGAAGTCATCTCCGGGAAAAGGAATCATGTTTACAAAAGGATGCAACTTGGAGGTTGAGGGTTATACCGATGCAGATTGGGCTGGATCAATTGATGATAGACGTTCTACGTCTGGATACTTCACATTTGTGGGTGGAAACTTAGTTACATGGCGAAGTAAAAAACAGGAGGTAGTAGCTAGGTCCAGTGCCGAGGCTGAGTACAGGGGAATGGCTAAGGGAGTATGTGAGTTATTGTGGATCAAAAGTTTAATGCAAGATTTGCATATTAAACAAACCAATCCCATGAGATTATATTGTGATAATAAGTCAGCATGTGATATTGCCCATAATCCAGTCCAACATGATAGGACTAAACATGTTGAGGTTGATAGGCACTTTATTAAAGAGAAACTAGAAACAAAGATCATCGAAGTGCCTCATGTACGTTCTCAAGACCAGCTCGCTGATGTGCTCACCAAGCCAGTATCAAGCCGGGCATTTAATAGCTGTCTCGTCAAGTTGGGCATGAGTGATATCTATGCCCCAACTTGAGGGGGAGTGTTGAAGATTGATTGAAGATTGTTTGGCATAATTTGAGGATGACTGTGTGTTAATTATAGTATTTGTATAAATTAGGTAATGTGTATCAATTAGGTAATCATTCCTTTCTTGTATTGCTGTGTATGGCTATATATATATCATTCCATATTGTAAAAGAATATAGAAAAATAATATTTCATCTTGAAACCTCTGAATCTCTTGTTTTCTACTTAGTCTATGATGTTAACTAATAATTGATAGATGGGGAGGCTTGGAATTGATTAACACGTTCATTGAAAACATAAGGGGCACAGGTAATCCTCGTGGAATTCGTTCTATGATGTTAACTAATAATTGGAAACTTTTTTACATTGCTAGAATATTGTGTACCTTCTTTGTTGTATTCTTCTATACGAGCTAGCAATGTCTTGTCCTTGTTGCAACCAACCAGTGGCCAGTGGTGATGAGCACATTGTGATCCCAGTTGCTTCAGATTTGGAAGATGAATGGCTAGAATCCATTATGAGTGAAGGAGAGTCCTCATCCTCGCATAAGAAGTTACCCAAGGTCCCCGAGATGCTTCAGCAGATGGAATCCATCAAGAAATGCTACAAACCAGAGGTGGTTTCTATCGGTCCCTACCACCATAACAAAGCCAAGCTCAAATCATTTGAGAAACTAAAAATTCGATTCACAAAAGAGTATGTCAATAGTTATAAGCCAGAATCCTCGGCAACTGCGCTATATAAGCAGGTTGCAGTTGTGGCTGGTGAGGCAAGAAACTGCTATGCTGAGGACGCGACAAAAAGCTTCAATGACAGAGACTTCACGCGGATGATGTTCCTTGATGGTTGCTTCGTCCTCCAATATATTCACTACAAGAATGACGAAGAAGAGGAAACCAAAATGACGATGAAGAATCATGAGAAAGCTTTCGTGCAACGTGACTTGTTCTTACTCGAGAATCAGCTTCCTTTCATAGTCCTCCAGGCACTGATGACCATGAACTCGGAATTTGCTGGAAAGAAAGGCTTGGAGTTGATTAACAAGTTCATTCAAAACACAAGGCCAAGTCCTCCTCTTCATAATTCATTTTGGGAATTGGTGGAAAATTGCATTACTAGCATTACCAACAGGTTACCCTTCCAAAAAAACATTACCAACAGGCACAAAGAAAAATCAAAAAAATCAAATTCACAATTAGACAAACCCGCTCATCTTCTAGAACTCAAGCACAAGCAACCTATTGAACCCAAAGCTTTCAGTACTCCTGGCACTGAAAACAGAGGATGAGGCAACACCAATGAAGAAACTCATCGTCAACCTTCTCAAGAACTCATTGTCGACCGTCAGTACTCACCAATGAAGAAATGCATTGTCAACCTTCTCAAAAAATTCTCTACTAAACGAGAAAAAAATAATTGGTACTCGTATCATTCAGTGCAGGAGCTCAAGACCGCAGGGATCAACTTCAGGCCTAACAAAAAAGGCAGATTTGTTACTGGTGTAAGGTATGGACCTCTCTTCATTAGAGCAATCTTAAGGCTTCCTCCAATGACTATCAATGATTCAACCCAGTCTCTACTACTAAACTTGGTAGCCTATGAGATGTGTCCTGATAGTCCCAATGACTTTGATTTGAAGTCACCTCATTTATATGGTTATGGACGCATTGATTGATCATGCTGACGATGTGAAGGAGCTGAGAAAGAATGGAATACTTCTAAATACCTTGGTAGCGACGAAGAGGTGACTGGTCTTTTCAATGAGATAGCCAAGAACTTAGTGCCTAACCCTGTTGCCTATAAAGATGTTAGAGACCAAATTGAAAACCACTATAAGAACAAGGTGAGCCTGTGGATGACTGAATGGTTGCATACCCATTTTGATACCCCTTGGACTATTCTTGCTTTCCTTGGTGCTATTTTAGCCATTGTCTGGAGCTTTATTCAGACTTATGTTGCTATCAATCCTATCACAAATAGCACACATTCGGGAGAATGAGTGGCTATTCCAACCTCGCAAGATCCTTTTCGTCAAGGAGTTTTGAATAAATAAGATGCTGCAGGTCTGTTAGGTAGCATCTGTGATGTTCAATTTCGCAATTTTAGACCCGGATTGTGTCCCCCTGGACTACTTGATACTTGTTTCTTGGTGATGTTTTGTGAATGTTTTTGTTTTTCTTCTGTTGGTTGTGTTGTGATTTTGTCTTTGGTGAGCATGAAAGAAAAAAAGAGTTGAGCCCAAAAAAAAAAAAAGATAGAAAGAAAGAAAGAAAGAGGCATTTGATCTTTTTTCTTTGGTGAGGATGAATGTTTTGCTTCAGTTTGGTTGTGGTTGTGGTTGTTCTCCATTTGGAAAGGAAGTGGCATTTGGTTTGTTGTGTTAAATGTTTGTGTGTGGTTTAGTTTTAGAATGGTGATTTCAATCCAAAAAAATTTCAAAATTCATAACATATAATTTAAAATTTAATTCAAAAATTATTTTCAAAATTTATAACCAACCACATAACTCAAAATTCAAAAAACTCTTTTCAAAACTCTATTTTGTTTTTAAAAAAAAATAATTTTTTTATTTTATTTGGTTCTTTAAAACTATTTTTTATTTATATTTTTTTGAAAAAAATATAAAATTTCAAAAAATATTTTGTTTATTTTTATTTTTGAAGAAAAATATTTTTTTATTTTTTATTTTTTCAAAAAAAAATATTTTGTTATTTTTTTAAGTATTGGCCAGATAATTTGTTATGATTTAGATACTCATTTTAAATTTTTAAATATTTAAAAAATATATTTAAAATATTTTTTAAAAAAATACAACGCACACATGTAGTAAATATAACACACATTAAAAAATAAAAAATATTTACCTTAAAAAAATAAAATTAAGAAAATTTTTAAATATGTAAAAAAAATAATAAATCCAAAAAATTTCAAAATACGATTCAAGACTCAAAATTCAAAATTTAATTCAAAACTCTTTTGAAAACTCATAACCAAATAAATTTTTTTTTTTTAAAACTCAACTCAAAACTCATAACTCAAAATATAATTTCACAATCAAATCATAATTATAAAACTAACCCAAACGATTTTTTAATAATAAGTTTCATACCTTCATGATAGTAACAAAATGTTGAATATCATAGCCTAATTAGCCAAGGGAGGCATTCAATGCCCCCACATGAAACTTGCGCCAAGGGTAGATTATACTAACTTGCATTAAGATTATTGACAACAGCAATGTTAGGTATCATGAAAAGTTTTTCATGAAAATGGTCATGAATGATTTGTGATCTTTGGATTACACTTACAATAAAGTACCACACACTAATCAAGGTAATTTAAGGGTCACAAATTTTTCAGGATCCTTTTCGTGACAAAATTTTCATGATCTCTAACATTTCTCTTATTGACAATTATAAGAATCTTCCTTGCGGTCATGAAACAATATTGACCAACTTTTCAATTTGCCCTTATTTTATGTGTGGATATCAATGCCCTTAATATCTATAATTTAAAAAAAAAACAATAACACACTCTTATTTTATAATTTAATAATCGATATCACTTCTCTTTTTGTTCATGTTAAGGCCAAATAGATACTAGCTTTTTATGTATTAATAGTATTAGATGGACCTGATCTCGAAAAAAAAAAATAGTATTAGATGTTAATTTATTTCTCTTCTTCAAATGGATGAATGATCTTCTTTTGAGATTTTCCAAAATTATCACATTAACAATTCTAATTGATATTTTATAACTACCTAATCATTGTTTCGCGTGCATCTGGCTTCTTTAAGAAAGAATCTCAAATTTAGTGTAATACATTCTTAAAAGTAATTTAAGAATTGGTCAAGCGGTTAAAAATTGAGAATAAGTTTTATAATTTTGAGCTCAAATCACTTTAAGAGGCCACTAGAGATTTGCTCGATTATTAATTTCAGAATTTTAGAATTAGTCAAGATACACACAAGTTAAAATAAATATTCAATAAAAACAAAAACAAAAAAAAGATAAAAAAACAAAAAGAACATATTTGAATAGGAAAAATTAAAAAAAAAAAAAAAATCTTAAATATGAAAGCAAATGTCAGACTATGGCAGAAAGAACATGTTCTTAGACTACACTTTTGGGGGAGAATAACGGACGTCACTTCTATAAAATTATAAATATCACTTTTTTTTTTTTTTTTTTATGTGTAATGTATGTCATTTAATCATATTTTTTAAATTTTGTCAAAGAGTGTTCTTTAGAAATGTAATTAAAAATGGTCATTTTTAATTCCACAAGTGCGATTAATAACATCCCGATCACATCTTTTAAGTGTGATTATTAACATTTAGATCACATCTTTTAAATGTGATTAATAACTAATAAAATCTATGATAATAAGCATTTAGATCACAGATTTTAAGTGTGATTAATATCTAATAAAATCAGTGATTAATAATGAGATAAAATCACATGTTATATGCATTTTTTATCACAATTAATGCATGTGATAAAAAAAGGGGTTCGACATATTTGAAAAATAATCAATATTATTTTTATACGCGCATTTGAAGAATATAATACATACCATATACTATATTTTGAATCACAATCACATATTGAATGGAATAACGTCATATATTTCATAAATAAAAGTTAAATATGTTCAAAAGTATATACAAAGGAATTAAATAAAAAAAATTTAACTGTGCTTACATAAATTAAAAAATGAAAAAAACTTGAAAAACTATCTGTTTGTTTATGTTTTCAAACTAGTTTTCTACACCAGAGTTCGAATATGATGTTTGTTTAGTGTTTTAGAATCACGTTTGGAAAGCTCTGCGAAGAGTTCTGTCTCAGCCGCTTTCTTAGCCGCGTTTTTCAGAAATTTTTTTTTGAAAATTTTTCCTGACGGGACATCCGGCTGGTCGTTCGGCCAGTTGACCGGAATAGTGATTTTATTTTATTTTATTTATTTATTTTTTTTTTTTGCAATTGATATGTTAATTTTTATATAATCGAAAAAAATATTTTCTGAAATTTTTAAAATTTTTTATGTGTTTTAAAATAATTTTGAGCTGTATGTTTAGTTATGAGTTGTAAATTTTTGTATCAAATATCAAATGTCACATCAACAATTTCCCATTCAAATCAAAACTCTTTTCAAAACTTTTTATTAAACAAATTTTCTACACTCAAATCATAATTTCAAACCCCACAAACTCAAAATACAACTCATACTCTCAAATCATAATTATAAAACACAATCAAACGCAGGCTAAGTTCTTGAATTCTGACCATATTTTGCATTTCTCCAATAAATTTCTAACTCGAAAAATGAAAACACAATTAATTCAGAAACCGCTAGAAACATATGAATAAACTAACTATTTGTAGAGATTGTTCTAGTCTTTCAAAAGATAAAATCGAACATTTTTCTTATCACACTGACTCTTCATCACAAGTAAATCCAACCTTCAAGTCATTTTCTTTGATTTACCCCCAATAAAAATAATAAAAATAACAACAATGCTAGGTAGCTCAAAATTTTGTGGCTCAAATGGCTTAAATCACTTAAAACGACGTCGTTTTGACGGATTTTGAGTGTAAAACGACATCATTTTGACAGATTTAAGCTATTTGAGCCAAAAAATTTTAAGCTACCAAACATTTTCCTAAAAATAATAATAAGAGGTAAACAAAAAAAAGTTGAAATAACAATATAAGGAATATCGTAGTTTCAACTCTTTGGTTACCAAAAAAAAAAATAAAAAATTCTTATTTTATTTTCCCTCAATAAATCAACACAACCTTCACTTGGTCGCTGCATACAACATGGTATACTGTACTAGGTCTCCCTATTCAATACAATCTTTTTTTCTTTTTATGTTTCTTCTTTTTCCTAGCATTGAATCTCTCATAACGTCCTTTCACTGGGAATCTCATTAGAGTATGTATATTTACTTTCAATTGACAATGAAGATTAAGGTTATTACCCTCTTACTCTGATAAAATTGTACACATTAAGGTATTTTTCAGCTGTCTTATTCCAGCTATTATCAATTTTCATAATCTTTCGTGAGACATCATTCCATTCATTTGGTTCTACGTATCAAAACAATAACAATAAACGAGAATTACAAGAAAAATGGTCGCAGTGATTCTATACTCATGCTTACTTCCATTCCATGTAAAATGACTTTGACCAATTAGAGAAGAAAGAAACCTCTCAAACTGTTTGAATTTAGCGGTAAGGTTGTAAATGATAGTGGGGCAAAATTATGAAATTTCTTGAAATTTTAATAAATACAAGATGGGAAATGCAAAGTATGAAAACTATGTTGTACTTACTCTCTCGAGATAGGTTAAAATCTTTCCCAAACGCAATCGAGGGTCTAATCTATTGTTTATGTTCAAGCATACACATCTTCACTAAATTGGCCCAACAAAGACTTATAGATGCAATGGTAAGAAAGAATGATATGATCATCATAAATAGAAATTTTAAAGAAAGTGAAAGACCTAAAATGACATAAAAAAAAAAATGTATGCATTTATTTAATTTAACTAAACATACAACTTTGATAGGATAGAATGACAACTTTGGTATGTTTTGGTTTAGTTTGGGAACTCGTGTCAATATTAGGTGTTCTGTCTCATTTATTAAGAATGTTTTGGTTTAGTTTGGGAACTCGTGTCAATATTAGGTGTTCTGTCTCATTTATTAAGATATACACCACAAACAACAAGATAAATGAAAGTAAAAAAATTCACTCATACCTTGCCTTAAATTGACAAGAATTCCAAGTGTCCGCCATTCATTTTTGTGAAAGTCTCCTACTGTACAAATTGTTGTGTCACATGGACTCTTCTAAATGCATATCCATTTTGGACACTCACCTGAGTATAGGCATAGGATATGCATATGATATATCTAGTTCGATAGGCAGCTGTCGAGGAACTCCCTAGTTAAATTACCGTTGCAACATGGTTGCTCCAAAATTGAGTGAAGTGTTTCATACTTAATGCTCTATGTTACATAAGAAAATCCCCCTACCTTATAAGTAAAAGATCATTAAGAAATATGAATATTAGCCATGTCTAGTATTCCTTGGACCTCGCGAACTCAACACTAAAACACATGCCCCCAATAGACACACTCGTACTTGAGAGCATGTACATAGACAACTTGCTACAATAATATTCTCATATAGATACATACAAAGGCACAGATATGCACAAATGTCATTAAATCATAGACAACTTGAGAGCATGTACATAGACAACTTGAGAGCATGTACATAGACAACTTGAGAGCATGTACATAGACAACTTGAGAGCATGTACATAGACAACTTGAGAGCATGTACATAGACAACTTGAGAGCATGTACATAGACAACTTGAGAGCATGTACATAGACAACTTGAGAGCATGTACATAGACAACTTGAGAGCATGTACATAGACAACTTGAGAGCATGTACATAGACAACTTGAGAGCATGTACATAGACAACTTGCTACAATAATATTCTCGTATAGATACATACAAAGGCACAGATATGCACAAATGTCACTAAATGCCAAATTTAATTTTTAGAAAATTTCCAAAGATTAGGTATATACCCAATCTTCCTCTCCCAAACAAACATTAATGTGTACTAACTAGGCAGCGTTGTTTTTTTTCAGAATTTTTTTTTTTTTGGATCGACAAAAGAAAACTTTATTGATGAAACACATACAGAGTATGAAGAGAAAACATCAATAAAGAGGAGCTTGGAGCTAGAAGAAGCTCTAACCTCCTAGTTGGTGAGAGACCAACAAACAAAACAAAGGCAAAGAAAAAAAAGAGTAACAGCCAGCTAAGCAACAAGCCAGCAAAGCAACCACAAGGGCTAACACCAGACCTGAAGAAGCAGCCAATGAAAATCAATCCAACCTACAAAATTCAGCAAGAACCAGCACAAACCAGCCCAAAAGATGCAGCCACAAGACACATCAGCAGCACATTGAAACAACAAATAAACCTCAGCTATTAACTCAAAAAACCAGAAGCAACACATTAGCAGAGATAGATCAGTAGCAGAGAAACCAGAGCTAGATCAGTAACAACACCAAAAGAGAAACAAAGGAGTTGCAGAGGAGTAGCAGTGAAACAGATCAGTAGTAGAGAAACCAGAATCACAGGGAGCCTGTAGCAAACATCCTAATCTGATTGAGATTAAAGACAATATCATTAACTGTATAATCAACCTCCAAGCTCCATTTTACCCACAAGGCAATCTGCACCTTCATTTTTTCACAAAAGTCATCACAATTAGGTTGTGCCCCTTTGAAAAGGCATTCATTTCGCAATCTCCAAACAGACCATAACACAACTGAGGGAACTATCTCCCATAATCTGGAAACCCAGTGCTTACTCTTACCAGCAGACCACCAATGCAGAAGGCCCTCGACTGATCCAAGGATTGCCCAAACCTGATCCCTCCACCTTACCATTTGAGACCAACGCTACCAAACCAGTGGGCAAAATAAGAGCACATGATCCAAGGATTACACCTCAGCTTGGCAAAAGACACAAGATATTTGCTGATGCATATAACACCCCAATCCTTTGAAAGAAGGTTGAAGACTTGACTTTGCCTCTCCAAGGCAACCAGCAAAAAAACTGCACTTTTGGCGGAGCTAAACAAACCCATACCCCTTTAGGTACAACCTGGCCAGGTCCTTTTGCTGCATCCCACCATCTTCTCACAAAAGAGACTGAAAACTGCCCTGAACTGTTAGCTAGCCAAGAACAAGAATCAACAAAATCAAAACTAACCATTGGAGATGTTACCAGCAAACCCATCAGTCTCTGCAGCTCCTCCGCTTCCCAAACTAATAATTGTCTTCTAAAGCTAAGCTGCCACACCCCTGAATTACTTCTCTTGGGACTGAGTTGTTGTAAGGTCTCATCTTTCTCAGTGGATAAAATGTATAGTCTGGGGAATTGAACCTGCAAGCCTCTGTTGTTAAGCCATGCATCATGCCAGAACATGATTCTCCCCCCACTTCCAACTTTAATTCTAAAATGGTCACCATAGAACTCACCCAAGTGTTGGTTAACTGAAAGGAGCTGCACAATATCCATCCGTACTGTGGATACCCCACCTGAAAGACTCATAGCTGGAGCCCAACCTCCACCAGTCCTACCATACCTTGAGCAGACCACAGCTTTCCACAGAGATGTATCTTCATTGCCATACCTCCATCACCAGTTTAATAACAAGCATTCATTCACCTCACCTAAATCTCTCACACCCAAACCTCCTTGACTTTTGCTTCTGGTTACCTCCTTCCATTTGACCAAGTGCACTTTCCTTTTATTAACATTCCCTCCCCATAGAAAAGATGACTGCAATTTGACTAAGGATTTAGCAACACGCTTAGGCATTCTAAAAAGAGAGAGAAAATAGGTTGGCAAGTTAGCGAGAACTGATTTGATCAAAGTCAACCTCCCAGCATAAGAAAGTAATTTCCTCTTCCAAGAAGACAGTTTTTTCTTCACCTTCTCTACTACTGGGTTCCATGTGCTCTACCTTCTCGGATTGGCCCCTAAAGGAAGACCTAAGAATGAAAATGGCAATTCCTTAGTCAAGCAATTAAAAATCTTAGCAAAATCCTCAGATTGATCATCTTCAAAGCCCACTCCACAAACTACACTTTTTTTCGGAGTACATAATATAATAATATTTAATACACACATAATAAGTTGCCATGGGAAAGGCGTAAAAGAAAAATGAACTGTAACTATGAGAAACAACATGGTCAAATATGATTTATTTGTTACTAAGTTCTAGGTGTGACAAAATAAAATGGTTGCAGCCAACATAAGTAGCGTGGATTAGTTTTGTTTAGTTTCAGTAGTAACTAAAAATTTCAGAACAAGAAAAACAAGTTGCCCATCAGCCATCTCAGCATGTAACTCATCATCCATATCAAACACTGTATCAGCAAGACCACCAGTCTTCCTAACTATTGGGACCTGAAATAATCAGAATTCAGAAGTATGCCTTGTCTCAGTGTGTTTCTGTTAATCAATGGTCTTCAGTCTGTTGGACATATGAATATTCTCTAAACAAAAAAATAAATAAACAAATGATGCAGCTAGTCTTTTTGATTGTTACAGATGAACAATTCTTTTGCCATGTGATTTTTATTTTTGATGAGTGGCCATATGATGAAAATTGAATCCTTTAATCCAACCTTCCTTTTAGATGCCATGTCAGGAGTATTAACACTGCACCTATAATGGCTTTGGCAAAAAGTAGACAAATAGGTATTACATGGATGCATAACTGGAAACTTATGATATTACTTGGTAGGATAAACCAATCATATACTTGCAGCTCCAGAATGTCAAATTTTCTTTTTCTATGACTTTTTGAACCATGAAGGTCAAAATCATTTCTTCAAAATTGTACAAGAATAAAAACACACACAAAAATAAATAAATAAATAAAATGCAGTGATAACTGAGCAGTGAAGTCAAATAGTCATCACTCATTACCCAGACAAGAGAAGAGGAGTGAGATTACAAGATAGTATATACCGCTCCATAACGCATTCCAATCATTTGAGCAAGTCCACATGGCTCATATATGGAAGGAACTAATACCATGTCTACTGCAGCATAAAGCATATGTGACAGCTCCTCACTGCATAGTGGATTCGATATCAAAGCATAGACAACACGCGGAAAACTCAAACAATAACCAGCATGCGCTGTTTGGGAATAGGGTTTTTTGGTGTTTTTTTTTTTTTTTCCATTAAAAGACAAATTGGTTACAAAACCCAAAAAAAAAAAAAAACAAATCCAAACAAAATATCACATCAAACCCCATAATCATTTTATTTTTTCTCTCACAAACATCACATCCAACAACAAAAAAACCAAACCATCTTCCCAAACACAAAAAAAAAAAATTCTCCAATAATATCCTACAACTAAAAAAACCTACAAAAAAAACACACTTTCCAAACACCCACATAGTTAACAACATATTATTCAGGATATAAAAGCTCACTTTAGGCTTAAAAATAAACATTCAAGTAGAGTTCCAAAATTTTAAAACAGAGAAAGTAACAACAAATTAACAGATTTAGGTAAATAGCTCTTTGGTGTTCCAAGATGATTTACCTGTACATCAGAAGAATCCGAATGTTGGGTCCTTATTTACGCTACAGATTGTACAATAATTGATTTGTCATCAGCTTATCATGTCAATTGCATAAAGAAGCAGAAGACAAGAAAAATGATTTAGGCAATTCAGTTCACAACAAGAGTTCCATATTGTGTAGTAAAATGATATTCACACTCCCTTTTTTTTTTTTTTGTCTTTTAGCCTCTCACAAGGATAGTGTGAGGCAGAACAATAGTATATTAAAGATTATTTATCCTTAAAAATTGCTGAACAAAGCAAGGGACATTGCCCACACACAAGATAGATCTTTCTTTATCACAATAAATTCAAGTTTAAAATAACAAACAAACTTCTTAATTTCTGGACAATTAACAAACCAGTGTGAACACTCAAAGAATTTGAAATCTCATAACTCAAAATTTTTTCAACAATTTCATGAATCAGATGTTGCTTTGAGTAACGCTGGTGTAAATATCTGAGCAGCTTGTGAAAATTTTGATTTTGCAACTTCCATATGCAAATGAATTGGACAAGCTCAAGTGCTTGATCGTGTACCAATTTCTTTTCTCTGATATGCTTCACCTAAGGCACTGTAATTAAAATAATTTTTTAAGGATATGCAGTAACAATGAATTCTAGTCTAGCATAAATGTAAAACAATATTCACCTAATCCTTACCAATTTTTACAACGACTTCCCAAAACATTGCATACAATCTTTGCTTAACTGCACAACAAATACCAAAACAGTCAAAACCTGAGAGGGAATGCTCTGGGACAAGCTAATTGCTAACAAATTGGAGACAGGTTTTGAGTATACATTGATTTTCAAAACTCAGCTGGTTCAAGTAACCTAAAGAAAGTGAGTTTACCCATATAATCTAAAATGCTTAAGCTCAAATTATTTAGTAACAAACTAGTTGTTAAAATTTATCAATAAACCTACCACCTCACCTACTCCACTAAACCTAACCCACTACACCACTACCACCTCACCTACTCCACTAAACCTAACCCACTACACCACTACCACCTCACCTACTCCACTAAACCTAACCCACTACACCACTACCACCTCACCTACTCCACTAAACCTAACCCACTACACCACTACCACCTCACCTACTCCACTAAACCTAACCCACTACACCACTACCACCTCACCTACTCCACTAAACCTAACCCACTACACCACTACCACCTCACCTACTCCACTAAACCTAACCCACTACACCACTACCACCTCACCTACTCCACTAAACCTAACCCACTACACCACTACCACCTCACCTACTCCACTAAACCTAACCCACTACACCACTACCACCTCACCTACTCCACTAAACCTAACCCACTACACCACTACCACCTCACCTACTCCACTAAACCTAACCCACTACACCACTACCACCTCACCTACTCCACTAAACCTAACCCACTACACCACTACCACCTCACCTACTCCACTAAACCTAACCCACTACACCACTACCACCTCACCTACTCCACTAAACCTAACCCACTACACCACTACCACCTCACCTACTCCACTAAACCTAACCCACTACACCACTACCACCTCACCTACTCCACTAAACCTAACCCACTACACCACTACCACCTCACCTACTCCACTAAACCTAACCCACTACACCACTACCACCTCACCTACTCCACTAAACCTAACCCACTACACCACTACCACCTCACCTACTCCACTAAACCTAACCCACTACACCACTACCACCTCACCTACTCCACTAAACCTAACCCACTACACCACTACCACCTCACCTACTCCACTAAACCTAACCCACTACACCACTACCACCTCACCTACTCCACTAAACCTAACCCACTACACCACTACCACTTCACCTACTCCACTAAACCTAACCCACTACAACACTACCACTTCACCTACTCCACTAAACCTAACCCACTACAACACTACCACTTCACCTACTCCACTAAACCTAACCCACTACAACACTACCACTTCACCTACTCCACTAAACCTAACCCACTACAACACTACCACTTCACCTACTCCACTAAACCTAACCCACTACAACACTACCACTTCACCTACTCCACTAAACCTAACCCACTACAACACTACCACTTCACCTACTCCACTAAACCTAACCCACTACAACACTACCACTTCACCTACTCCACTAAACCTAACCCACTACAACACTACCACTTCACCTACTCCACTAAACCTAACCCACTACAACACTACCACTTCACCTACTCCACTAAACCTAACCCACTACAACACTACCACTTCACCTACTCCACTAAACCTAACCCACTACACCACTACCACCTCACCTACTCCACTAAACCTAACCCACTACACCACTACCACCTCACCTACTCCACTAAACCTAACCCACTACACCACTACCACCTCACCTACTCCACTAAACCTAACCCACTACACCACTACCACCTCACCTACTCCACTAAACCTAACCCACTACACCACTACCACCTCACCTACTCCACTAAACCTAACCCACTACACCACTACCACCTCACCTACTCCACTAAACCTAACCCACTACACCACTACCACCTCACCTACTCCACTAAACCTAACCCACTACACCACTACCACCTCACCTACTCCACTAAACCTAACCCACTACACCACTACCACCTCACCTACTCCACTAAACCTAACCCACTACACCACTACCACCTCACCTACTCCACTAAACCTAACCCACTACACCACTACCACCTCACCTACTCCACTAAACCTAACCCACTACACCACTACCACCTCACCTACTCCACTAAACCTAACCCACTACACCACTACCACCTCACCTACTCCACTAAACCTAACCCACTACACCACTACCACCTCACCTACTCCACTAAACCTAACCCACTACACCACTACCACCTCACCTACTCCACTAAACCTAACCCACTACACCACTACCACCTCACCTACTCCACTAAACCTAACCCACTACACCACTACCACCTCACCTACTCCACTAAACCTAACCCACTACACCACTACCACCTCACCTACTCCACTAAACCTAACCCACTACACCACTACCACCTCACCTACTCCACTAAACCTAACCCACTACACCACTACCACCTCACCTACTCCACTAAACCTAACCCACTACACCACTACCACCTCACCTACTCCACTAAACCTAACCCACTACACCACTACCACCTCACCTACTCCACTAAACCTAACCCACTACACCACTACCACCTCACCTACTCCACTAAACCTAACCCACTACACCACTACCACCTCACCTACTCCACTAAACCTAACCCACTACACCACTACCACCTCACCTACTCCACTAAACCTAACCCACTACACCACTACCACCTCACCTACTCCACTAAACCTAACCCACTACACCACTACCACCTCACCTACTCCACTAAACCTAACCCACTACACCACTACCACCTCACCTACTCCACTAAACCTAACCCACTACACCACTACCACCTCACCTACTCCACTAAACCTAACCCACTACACCACTACCACCTCACCTACTCCACTAAACCTAACCCACTACACCACTACCACCTCACCTACTCCACTAAACCTAACCCACTACACCACTACCACCTCACCTACTCCACTAAACCTAACCCACTACACCACTACCACCTCACCTACTCCACTAAACCTAACCCACTACACCACTACCACCTCACCTACTCCACTAAACCTAACCCACTACACCACTACCACCTCACCTACTCCACTAAACCTAACCCACTACACCACTACCACCTCACCTACTCCACTAAACCTAACCCACTACACCACTACCACCTCACCTACTCCACTAAACCTAACCCACTACACCACTACCACCTCACCTACTCCACTAAACCTAACCCACTACACCACTACCACCTCACCTACTCCACTAAACCTAACCCACTACACCACTACCACCTCACCTACTCCACTAAACCTAACCCACTACACCACTACCACCTCACCTACTCCACTAAACCTAACCCACTACACCACTACCACCTCACCTACTCCACTAAACCTAACCCACTACACCACTACCACCTCACCTACTCCACTAAACCTAACCCACTACACCACTACCACCTCACCTACTCCACTAAACCTAACCCACTACACCACTACCACCTCACCTACTCCACTAAACCTAACCCACTACACCACTACCACCTCACCTACTCCACTAAACCTAACCCACTACACCACTACCACCTCACCTACTCCACTAAACCTAACCCACTACACCACTACCACCTCACCTACTCCACTAAACCTAACCCACTACACCACTACCACCTCACCTACTCCACTAAACCTAACCCACTACACCACTACCACCTCACCTACTCCACTAAACCTAACCCACTACACCACTACCACCTCACCTACTCCACTAAACCTAACCCACTACACCACTACCACCTCACCTACTCCACTAAACCTAACCCACTACACCACTACCACCTCACCTACTCCACTAAACCTAACCCACTACACCACTACCACCTCACCTACTCCACTAAACCTAACCCACTACACCACTACCACCTCACCTACTCCACTAAACCTAACCCACTACACCACTACCACCTCACCTACTCCACTAAACCTAACCCACTACACCACTACCACCTCACCTACTCCACTAAACCTAACCCACTACACCACTACCACCTCACCTACTCCACTAAACCTAACCCACTACACCACTACCACCTCACCTACTCCACTAAACCTAACCCACTACACCACTACCACCTCACCTACTCCACTAAACCTAACCCACTACACCACTACCACCTCACCTACTCCACTAAACCTAACCCACTACACCACTACCACCTCACCTACTCCACTAAACCTAACCCACTACACCACTACCACCTCACCTACTCCACTAAACCTAACCCACTACACCACTACCACCTCACCTACTCCACTAAACCTAACCCACTACACCACTACCACCTCACCTACTCCACTAAACCTAACCCACTACACCACTACCACCTCACCTACTCCACTAAACCTAACCCACTACACCACTACCACCTCACCTACTCCACTAAACCTAACCCACTACACCACTACCACCTCACCTACTCCACTAAACCTAACCCACTACACCACTACCACCTCACCTACTCCACTAAACCTAACCCACTACACCACTACCACCTCACCTACTCCACTAAACCTAACCCACTACACCACTACCACCTCACCTACTCCACTAAACCTAACCCACTACACCACTACCACCTCACCTACTCCACTAAACCTAACCCACTACACCACTACCACCTCACCTACTCCACTAAACCTAACCCACTACACCACTACCACCTCACCTACTCCACTAAACCTAACCCACTACACCACTACCACCTCACCTACTCCACTAAACCTAACCCACTACACCACTACCACCTCACCTACTCCACTAAACCTAACCCACTACACCACTACCACCTCACCTACTCCACTAAACCTAACCCACTACACCACTACCACCTCACCTACTCCACTAAACCTAACCCACTACACCACTACCACCTCACCTACTCCACTAAACCTAACCCACTACACCACTACCACCTCACCTACTCCACTAAACCTAACCCACTACACCACTACCACCTCACCTACTCCACTAAACCTAACCCACTACACCACTACCACCTCACCTACTCCACTAAACCTAACCCACTACACCACTACCACCTCACCTACTCCACTAAACCTAACCCACTACACCACTACCACCTCACCTACTCCACTAAACCTAACCCACTACACCACTACCACCTCACCTACTCCACTAAACCTAACCCACTACACCACTACCACCTCACCTACTCCACTAAACCTAACCCACTACACCACTACCACCTCACC